TGCAGCATGTCCAGAGAAGGTGAAGGGTCTGGAGAGTAAGTCCTATGAGGACCAGCTGAGGGAACTGGGGTTGTTTAGTCTGGAGAAGAAAAGGCTCGGGGTTAACCTCATTACTCACTACAACTACCTGAAAGGAAATTATAGCACATTAGGAGGGGGTCAGTCTCTGCTCCCAGTCAACCAGCAACAGGACAAGAGAAAATGGCCTCAAGTTGTGCCAGGGCAGGTTCAGGCTGGACATCAGGAAGAATGTTTTCCCTGAAAGGATGGTTAAGCATTAGAATGGGCTGCCCAGGCAAGTGGAGTCACAATCCCTAGGAGCATTCAGGAAACTACTAGAATGGCACTCAGTGCTATGGTTTAGTTGGCATGGTGATATCAGTCACAGGCTGGATTCAAGGATCTTAGAAGTCTTTTCCAGCTTTAATGATTCTACAGCTTTTGGTCCTGCACCTGACACAAAGCCCTTCTGCATCTAGTTTCCTCATTCCAGAGGCATTAGGAAAAAGGGATGGCCATCTCCATCTTCCAGATCATGAGATATTCCTAGCTCATTTTCCAACTTGTATGAACCAAAGTTCCAATTCATTCAATTCCTCTAGCGTGTCATCAAATCTTAACAAGACCTATTTTGATATGCAATCTCCCTGACAACCAAATAACTGTGACCTTTCAAGAACACAGGTCCATATTTCATTTTGATGTCTATTATCTGCAGAACAAAAAGGAGTGGGGCAGTTGCTTTTGGGCAGAGAAAATGTATTTACCAAGCAGGTTTTTTACGGTGATTACAAAAGTTTACCAATCAAATTCAGGACATTTGTTCTCTTTGTGCTGTCATGGAAAAACAGCCCCAGTTTGTAGGGGCTGGGTTGCACTGCACAGCTGCTCAGGGAACCCTGCTCCTGCACAGCTTGCTGTCACCCTGCAGGGCTGAGCCAAGCATGGAGGACCCTGAAGCACCAGAGGGCTACAGGAACAGCACATGTGGCACATTAGCAGACAGGTCCCTCTTTGGCTCACCTAGAAAATCCACTGGCTGGAGGCTCCCATGACACTCCTTTCACCTGGCCAAGCACCAGCAAATGGTGCTCAGGGACTACATGCAAAATGGCACCAAACAGGTTTTTGTGAAACTGTTCAAAATTTCCCAACTAATGATGTCACTCCTGTTTTGTCTTCATTCTTCCTGCCCGCTCATCCCTGGGTTTCAGCAAGGCCATGATGTATTCACCTCGCTGTGCCTCTTCTCCCAGCCTTCTGCACCTTCACTCCTATTTTCTTTGCCAAAAATATAAAAAAAAACACTTCAAGAAAAAGGAAAAAGAAGAGCTGAAAGGTTCAGGTGGGCATCAGTGGATGATGAACTCCACAAGACAGAGTAACACTTGACAGAAGCAGGTATAACTGGTATAAACTGGTGTAAAAAACAGGTTTAAGTGAAACTCAAATAAAAATATACATAAGCTATTAAAGTACCTAAAATGCATGGGGTTTTGATCCCAGAGTTATAAGAACCCGGTATTATTTAGTCCTTTAGAGGCTCAGTAGTAGCAACTCCAAGCTGTTGAAATGTTGACTTATTCCATGCTCTGCAGAGACAGAAAATAAATGTGAAACTGGATCCCGACAGCACCACTAGATCCCAAAACTGACCCTCCTGCTTTCTGCTCTGCCTGCTCCAAAGAACATGCTATTCCTGGAGGAGTTTTAAAAAAAATAAAGCCCAAGCAAGTGTTCTCATGTCCTCTCCACTTCCCAAAGCTCAGGCAAGCAGCTCGCTCGAGTGGCCCTCCCACACACATCACCCTCTGGGTGCTGGCACTCCCAGAGAGCTCTGCCCTGGCCCCACGGGCTGGCCTGGCACCAAGCACGAGCAGAGCAGCAGCCGCAGCGCGCAGCTCAGCACGCTCGAGCTACAATAAACCTGTCAGACTGTGCAAGACATGAATCATATGGACTGCCACAACAGCAACCCAGCGTGCGCTAAAGCAAACAAACAAACAAATAAACAAACAAACAAACAATCCTAAGACATCTCAAAACACAGATGTAGGTAAAAGGCACTCTCCTGAGGCTGCCGGTGCACTTATACTACAAGGCTTCCTGGAAAAATATACTCTCTCCTGACTTGTGACAACTCAGAAACGCTTCAGCAGAGCTGTAGCAGGGGGCCACGGGAAAGCAGGACCAACAGGACTCACTGGAAAAGTGGACCCTGACCAAGCAAATGCCTGGGTTTTCCAGGATGCTGGAAGTGAGAGAAAACGCCTGTAGCAAAGGCTCACTGGTCACTGAGGGATGCAGCTGCAGAGTTGCTCAGGGTCATTTGGAAAGCACATTTCCAAGAGCACTTAGTCAGCTGGAGGTGCTGCTTCTCTCACACCGGCCGGGAAGTTATGCAGCACTAAAAAGAGTATCTTTTCCTGTTTAAGGTTTTCCTGTAGTCCTTGGTACAGCCATGAGAGAAGCATGGATATAATGCTACAAGTGCATCTGAGGGACTCGCATGCTGCCTCTGCCCTTCAGGACAGCCTTGGGAGTGGATGACTGCTCCATCCATGCTTGTGGGTCATCAAGGCATACCATTTCATACCATGAACCTGTGACTACACTTTGGATGTACATGTATTTTTCACTTGTATCATTGCAATACAGTCAGTGGATATAGTGACCATTTCTCCATCCTGTTTTCCTCCGTGCTATTTAATGGTCTTGTGGTGTCATCTCTTAAGCCACTGTCCTCCAAACACAGATGCCCCTCACCTTCCAACCAGCAACTGCAAGGCTGTGAACTATGAGATGAATTAGGCAGACAAAAGCACAGGGGAAAGGTTTATGGCCAGTCTGTTTGCTTTTCCTGGCAGATTCAGTCCAGAGACTTCAGCTTTTCCAGGTGACAAGTGTCTTCCAAGACAGTGTCTGCCTCACAAAATATTCTATAAAATCTTTATTTAATTGCTCCCCTAGGACTGCTGGCTAGACCCTCACACTACTGCCACGTGTCTGTGTCTGAGTTTAAGCACATGGATTGTCTGAACTGACTTCATCAGGACAACTCACGCACTGAAAGCCCACTACATGTGTAAACGTTAGCAGGAACAGTGCATTAATCATCTGCCCTTGGGTTTTGAAAGGGAATCTGTGTGGAAGAAAAAAGCAAAAAAACTCCATAAAACTTGCGGATACAATTCAGGTATCCAAGTGATGCATTAATCTAAATTAAACCCCTCTCCTGCACTATCCCTTTTAGAAAAGCAAGTTCTCTACAAATGTGTGATCTGTAGTTAACTGCTGTTGACTGATTTCCAAAGGAATCCTGTGGAAGGTAAAGTTTCCAGTACCTGTGCCCACCCCACAAGCAGCACACTCAGAAAGTCTACACTGGGTTTTCTTGCAGATTTTTCCTTCCCTTCCGTCTCCATGACTAGCAATATGGATAGAAAAACATTCTCTCTGCTCTTGACAGAGCGGCTGCTGCTGCTGCTGCTGCACGTTCTCCACCTGGAGTGAAAATTCTCCGTTGTCACGGCAGCCAACAGTGATGTCACAGACTGAGTATTGTGACTTCAGCTGCAAAAGGAGCAGCGGGCAGATGAACTCTGAAAACAAAGATATTGTTTTGGTGTAAACAGCCTTCACGGAAAAGGGGGACAAAAAGAAGGAAGTATATATAAACATCTGACAATTACGGTTTTCTCGAAGAAGTATAAATATATAAAAAATAGAGTTCTCTCTGGGCAAACATCTCAAAGGTACAACTAAGTACTGAAATAATTGTCATTTTGTTTCTGTTATGTGAAGAAATGGGACCCTTTCAGGCTTTGAAATACATGTTTTCTGTTCTTTTCTTTTCTTATTTTTGTTTTTAAAAAGTCTGGTCAGTCCCAGAATAAGCAATCAGCATTGCTGTGTAAAGAAATAAGTCTCAGGAAATAATGCACATGTTTCCAAATGTTTCATTAATCCACAGGCAACTTGCAAATACTGCTGTCTCTCTTGACAAACCTTTCTGAAAATTCACATGCAGAAGAAGGGGAAATACATGTAGGACTTCAGTTACCACCTTCTCAGGGGACATCACAAACAATAAGCAGTTCCCTCCCCAAAGTACCCTAATGATATCCTAGCTTTACAAAAAATTATGCTTGAGTATTTTTTCTGAAATATAAACTTGCCATGCACAGTCAAAATTAAAAAGAAATATGGGGCATTTTAAAGAGAAATTCCATGGGGAGAAGCAACTGTGAAATAGCCAAACATCAATTATGAAAACCACATCAAGAAGAGGCTGTTATGCACGGGCTGAAGGGTTTAGGGATTTCAAGAAAATGTGCATCCTAGTTTGACTCATAATGTAGGCAGAGAATGAGCAAGTTTCCTCAACTTAAAAACAGCTCAGTGAGTATGTAACCCTTTAAAGTCACGGTATCTATACAACTTCCTTGTATCTCACAGCTCCCAGCTGATGGCAATCTTTGCTCTCCATGCCCAACTCCTCCATAGGATTCCATCCTAAATTAGTGCACAACAAACAGCTGATACTACTGTGACATGGGCAAACTTCTGAGGTGTGCACTGCAGCCACCCCAGAGCTTGCTCATTGGTGCCACTATCACTATCCCAACTGCAAACCTTCCATCAGAGCCTTCTCCTCCCCTGCTGCTGCCCACATACACTCAGCAGGCTGTGGGCAGCACTGCTTCCTTCTACCTGAGGGGAGAACACAAATGTAAGGAAAGCAAAATGTAACAAAGTGAACAAAGGCAGAGAGATTCGGGGTTGATTCTGCCTGTGAGTCAAGTCTGGATAATTTTCCCAAGCTTAAAGATTATGGTCTCACGAGTGTATCATTTGGGACTTCCATAGGGCAGGACCTGGGAGAGGGAGCAATCAGAGCTGGGAGTACCCAGGGTAACATCAGGAAACGCCTTCCCACAAGACCCAAAGAAAAAGCAATGGCATGAACTTGTTCTTCCTTAAAATAACTTGCAAGTCTGTTGGTTTGTGGCATTGCTGTTTAATGGTATAGAGCATTATTAGAGAAAAACAGCATAAACCAGGCCGTTGTCACAAGGGGAAAAAGGTATCTCAGCTCATTTGCATTTTTCCTCTGACCCTGAACTTCTATCTCGAGGGTCACACTTGCTCCTACAGGAATGTTTGGATAGAAGGCTTCACCAATTTTCCTCTCTGATGACAAACGGCACCAAACGCTTTCCTGTCTCTTCTCCCAGGAGCAACAGCTGTTTATTGTTCCTGATTCCCATTCTGCATGGCCAAACAACTACACAGAAAACAGAGATGGGTGAAAGCAAGACTATTTAAAGCTGCAAATCAAGAACGCAAGGCTTAGGAAAACTCAGCTTTACGGCTGCCTGTGCAACCTTCGACCCTCTTTCTTGCCTGTGTGCCATGGCAGAGCTGTTAATCACATAATCACGGGCTGTTTTTCCACAGGGCCTTGGCCTCACCCGGTGCAGCAGGATCTGGGGTGCTCACCAGGTGAGCGCCCAGTTACTATTTCATCTTCTCAGAGCTGATGGAGGTGTGGCCCCAAGCCTTGTTTACTGCATACCCGCCATGCTCTGCTCTGCAGACGGAATTAGTAATTTACTCATGGCCTTTCCTACAAGTACGCATCATTAGAGTAACTGATTGTTTCACAAACATAAAGGAATGTATTTTGTATCACTGCCCTTATAAAGTAAGATACTGTATTATCCATATGTCATGGGCAGGGAAGCAAAGCACAGGGAGATTAATGTGAAAAGCTTCCACTAGTTTTGAATGCTCAATTGAAACTCTTAAGTAGAAGTCCTTCAGAGATACATTTCCCCAGTTGAGGCTGTGGTGACAATCATTTTTTTGGGCTGATGCTCTCGGAGATAGCAGAAGTGGTATCCCTGACATTTACACAATTCAAATTTTACTGGGTTGTTAATGTGGAGGCTTGCTTTCTCATTTCTTTGTACATTTGTTATATTTAACATGCATCAAGAAAAAAAATCCAGGAGAGGTATAAAACAGCTGTTTTCCAAATATACATTCTGAGGCAGGTAGCTGGGATGGAAAATTTCTGCCCAGACAGTTTAAGTTTAGTAAAGTTGTGAACAACTAAAAATGAAGGTCTTAAAATAGGGAAGCTGTTGGATGGCCTCAACAACAGGTTATTGCCATAAAATACATTTTTTTTTCTCTTCTCAGTTGTTGAAGAAACAGATGTTACACTAACAGAATCAAGTCAAACTGAAACACACACTGTAACTAGAACTTTATTTTATATCCTGGTTCTGTTCAGATAAACAAGATAAATTTATTTTTACATTTAAAGCACAACAAAGTCTTGTTATGCAATTCCAAACAGGGACTTCTGCTTAGAGTCATAAGCCCCACCTTTCCTCCTGTTCTCTCAGAAAGAGAAAGCAAGTGTCAGGCACTGCAGGCAGCACTGGTCATAAGCTGGATACAGGCAGATGGGCAGTACTCAGAGGTAGTGAATCTTACATTGATATAAACTGATCCTGCCCCTGATTATTTGCAGGGAGATTCAAAAATTCCTATAAGAAAAAAAAAAACAAAAACGCCCATCTGAAAATTTCAGGCAGTGATTTTATCTGTGCCAACACCAGGAAAGAAAGACAGACAGACAAAAAGACAGACGGTGGGGGGGTGGGAATAATTCAACCAACTGCTGGTGCCAGCCTTCTTCAGAGCAATGAAGTAATTTTAGAGACACTTCTGTAGGAGCGTAAAATCCAACCCTGCAACTGTGCACAGGACTCGGGACACACAGACACAGACAGAGGCACAGGCACACACAGACACACAGAGGACACTGGACAACAATGTGAGAAAATGTGGGAGCTGGCAGAACTGGTTCCTCCATCACCTTGGGAACATGCAAGGACAACCCCAGGATAACTCCTGACAATTCCTCTTTGCCACCCAAGCTGTATTCCTGGCAAATGGTGTTTTGAAGTGTTCCTTCCCCTGACACATACCACATCCACACAGAGGGGAACACAGACCCAATTTCTCTGTCCTGCTCTGAAAACTCCCACCGTATATCCCTGCTTTTGAGCTAGTCATGTCTCCTGACTGCACTAACTTAGACTAATTCAGTAGTTTTAATTACAGAGGGATTTACAGCACTGCACTACAGTGCTCTCTTTTATTATACCCACTGTTTCTGCTGAATCTGGGTGCACTCTACATACAAAGTTGCACATTAGACAAATTACACTGCACATTAAGTAAATCTCTCTCTAGAAATAGGATTAGATGAAGAGGCAAATCTTCCTCATTCCTAGTGCATAAATTAATATCTACAAAATCAATATAAAGAAAGAGCTCCATATCAATTTATGAAAAAATAGTTTAAACATACTCCACAATTAAACATATTTATGTAGGAGATGCATTCTTCTTCTCCTATTTTGCTTAATAAATAAAACAGCTGGTCCAAGGAATCAGGTCAATCAGTGTCTGGAAAAAGCCCCATTAAAGCTGCTATATAACCTACTTTCTCAAGCTGCATAAGACATCCTGATATTGAAGAGGCAGAAGTCCATGCACAGACAGCAGGGATGGCTCAGCTTCTGGCCCTTCAGGGTTATGGAGGATATTTATCACAGAAGACAACAGTAAGTGAGATATCTTGAAAAGATCTAAGGAGATGGGCTCTGAAGGACCACAACAAAGACAACATGATGCATCCAGACCTGTACATAAAACAGAGCTACTAGACTTGGGCACCTAAGTTCAGGTCATCCAACAGGAGACGGTGAAGGCCCAGATTTTCACCAGTGTTCAGATCCCCTCAAAGCTAACCTAGCCCTGCTGCCACAGTGGGTGATAACAGCTCTTCTCAGGGCACTCCACAGCTGCATGGTTCCATCCCTCCCATGCCACGTGGGAGGGCGAATCCGGCAGGGCCCAAAGCTGTGGGCGTGTTTTGCGGGCACAGAGCCTATTCCAGTGCAGGCAAAAACCCCACTGCACCAGCCCTCCTCCTCCTGCACCACACACAGCACACAAGACACAATGCCCAGGCCCTCCTCACCTCAGAAAACATATATTCAATAAGTTTGAAAATATTTTGCGAAAGATATCACAATCCACATCCTCTAGGGATAAAAATGGAGCCAGAAGAAAGTGACTTGCTTAAGCTTTAAGAGCAAGGCAGCATTAGAATTCGGAAATGAAACTTCCTGGTCCACAAACCTAGGTTTTAGCTTCTTAAATAAGGATTCTCTTCCCTCATTAAAAAACTAAAAATGGGAAAAGAGGGAGGAATATTCTGTAAGGCAGAATGAACTTTGCTCTCAGGGGACTAATGACCAGATAGACTTTTTTTTTCACTTCTCATCGCCATTCCTCTGCTAAAGTTACAATAACTTCAAGGACTATGCTTCTTCCTGTGTCAGCTCAGCATCCTTTTCTTAACCACCTGAAGCCAGAGATCATCCTTCCATGAGAGGAGATTACCTTCTTGCTTTCAGTCTCTCCGGACATCCTTGCAACATCCTGGACTGAGACTACTCTGCTTTCTGCATTGTGCTGAGGGACTCCAAAGTCCTATCCACTCATCCCAACCCACAGTACGAGGCAGCCTGAAAGGGTACCCTGGAGGTAAAACCTGGTTGTTCTCTATTAATTTTTCATTTTAAGAATGGCTCCAGGGAAAGGAGGGAGATATAGGTCAGAGATTTTGGGGGCTGATTAGTAACTCTGTACATCTTCCTTCCTTTTTTTTTTTTTTCTCTTCCAAATTCAGAAACAGAGGGTTTTCCCTCCGTGTTTCTCATTTACTCCTTGAGCATCACTGGCATTAGTCAGCAAACTCCTGCTATTTCCTCACAAGCCTCTGACACTTGCAGAGTGACTAACCCCCTCTGCACACACTTCGGTTCTAACAGTTGCATCTGCTTTTTTTCTCTCAAGAAAAATGGATCTCGCCATTGCACAGGCGCAGTTCCCCCTGTGGTCACTGTAAGGGTGACAGGTCACTCCCCGTGAGCTCCTGCTGCCAGGAGGCTGCAAACACCACCATTTTTCATGCACGGAGCTGAAGAGCCAGGAGGTGATGGCAGGGCCTGCCTTCAGGTCACTTCATAACTCACCATCAGAGCAGCAGTGTCCCTCAAACTAGGAAGAAGTTAGCTCCTGCTCCAAGCACAGGCACGTGCAGAAGGCAGCGGAGGAAGCCTGAAGCCACCTGGCAGCCACCTGCTCTCTCAGGTGACACTGCCTTTGCATCAGCCTTGCCCTCCCAGGACCAGGAGTCTCTGCCCTGGTTATGGTGCCTGGTGCCTGACATGATGTGCAGAAGGCCTCAGATGGGCTTCTGAGGCACGAATACAGGGTGAGTGAAAGCACAGCTCCTTGTGACTCAAAGCCACCTCATCAGAGCATGACAGAAGGCTCCTCCTGGCCAGGTGGGCTTGCACAAGCTGCCCACCCACAGCCACACTCACAGAAGACCCTGCATGCAGCTCATGCTCACGCAGGCGTACTCACAGACCTGCCCACACTGTGCTCTCAGTGCTGCACTGGAGCACACAGCAAGTTTGTTGTGTCCACCTTCCCAGGGGGATGCCAAGAGCTGGAAGACCACTCTTCCTTACATCCAACATGCAAGGAGGATGTCTTGCCCCCAGGGCAAGGCCATGCCCTCAGGCAATGGTAGGTGCTACGTGCTGCCACCCACACAGGAACAATCCACATTCCAGAGCACAGCCCATCAATAAGGATCAGTGGGAAGGCTGGTGAGCTTGGTGCTGGAGAAGTTCATTCCCCATTTAACCTGGACACCCTCACCCCATTCCCGCCACCCTTACCTCCGTCCCCATTGTAGGAGAGACTTCTGCATTGCTGTGTAGGGAGGCATGAAAATAAACCACCGGCTCCAGTGCCACACTCCCTCCTGGCAGATCTGTTTCTCTCTTCTTAACTGTTTCCAAGTGCCTGGCTGTTTTATAATCCCTAGTGAGCATTCCCTTAACTCCTTCCTCACTGAGTCCTTCCACTCTCCCTCACTCGTTCTCTTCTAAAAGGCAGAAAAATCCAAGGCGAGGTAGGGGGTAGAGAAAGAAAAGGAGGGGGCCTGAATCAAAGAGGGAACATCTGAATCAAAGAGGGAACATCTGAATCAAACTGCACATATTAGTCATTTCCCCAGCCTTCTCTTACACAGACAGACTGACTCTCCTGTTAATGTATTTCATTTTTTTTCCCCCATGGACATTTGTGTACCTTAGAAACTTCTTTGCTAATCTCCTCCTTCTTTTTCATACCATGAGGTCATATGCTTCTGCTGGTAGCACGACTTTAAATCACACAGCAGCTTGCCCTTTGAGGGCTGAACAGAAATCACTGTCTTAGATCACAAGTAAATATGAGTTGATGGCTTCAAGCCCAGTGTCACCACCACCCTACTTATGCATATTGCAAAATTCGAGAAGAATCAAATGCAGGTACTGCTTCCCAGTGGAAAGGACTTCACCACTGCAAGGGCTGCGAGAGTGCCATGTGGAGGGGCTCGTGCAGAGGAACACATCCTCCCTGTTCCCAAGACGTGGGACTCTGCAAATGCCCTGAAGTGACGCTATGGGTGCTAAAGGCCATGCACTGCGTGTGTCAGGGAGTCACTTGGCCCGGGACATTTTGGGAGATCACGGCTGCACTTGGCCACAAGGCAGCACAGGTCGCTGTGTGCCAGGGTGTGCTGGCAGCACAGCGTGGGGCAGGACAAGCACGGCGACCCAGCAGCTTTGGATTTCATAACCACCACTACGTGCAAAGCAACGTCACAGAACGCGCCGGTGTTTGCGCTGCTCCCGTGAGCGCGTGAATCAAGAGGAAGGAGGGAAAAAGCATCGGCTTTCACATGTCCCCTCTCAGGTGGGAACATGACACCTGCAGCGGGCTGCTGCTCTTCCTCAGAGCCTGTGGCTCCTTCTTCCAGCTTCTTGAGGTTACCCCTGACAGCTTCCACTCAAAAGTTTACCCAGGTATCTTATTCCCTGACAAAATGAGCTATTCAAAACGAGCCATGTCACACAAGGCTGGGCCGCAGGGCTTTTAAAATCGGTTCTGCTGATGTTCAAAGGGAGCAGCTTGCTGTGCAGAGGAGTGGTAAAGTTAATAGCAGTAGGATCAGCACAAGCTCTTACCCTGCCATCTGCCTTCAGCTCAGCCAGGCTTTCTGCTGAACAGCCAATGTGGGCTGGGGCCACTGGAGTGAGCAGCAACTCACTGACATGAAAGACTGCCTGGGTTAGTTGATTAAGAATAAGATTACGAGCACAGGAATCCTGTATAGTGCTGGTACTGACTCAGTTCAAGGATTTCATGGGCATATTTAAGCCCAGTTTTCTAAAGAAGCCTTTTATTTTGTGTAGGTGGGTGTTTGTGTGACAGCTTAAACAAGCCCCATGAACTGATGACTCCAGTAACAGGGGTCATCTCTGAAACTGCTATGCTTTCTTCTTTGGCCACCCCCACTAGAAAACAGGGATAAATAACACTCAACTGTCTCACTCCCCTGAAATGTTTAAGTCCTTTGCACATACAGAGCTCTGGAGGAAAGACAGGAAGCCCACTGGAATGGACAGGGATGCCTCTCACAACTGTGGGTCACAGATCCCTCTCATTCTGCTTTGTGGACTTCTTTTAAGTGCTGGCCACTGCCAGCAGGCCCTGACAGAGGCTGCTCAGCTCTGCTCCTGCACATTCAGATTGACAGCTGCCTCAAGAGTTCTCCCTCTTTTTAATAATAGAAGAGTCACTTAAGGCTTGTGGATGACCTGAAAGTACCAACTGCTGACCCACTACCCAAGTCTGAACCTTCCAGTGCAACCATGAAGAGCAGGGCTTGGTCCCCTTGAGGGGTGGTGAGGGCAAAACAGTTCTGTAGGCCCATAACAAGATACTGAGATCCCCTCTGATGTCATGTAATTCTGCAGTAATACCCTAGAGCAATTTAAAGGACTGCTGCAGCTGATCTCCAAACCCAAAGACAGCTGGAGGGAGCAGCAAAAGGGTGCTGGTCTGGAAGGAAGATGGGGGATCTGGGATGAGTGAGGGCACAACCTGCCTGATCTGAAAGTGAAAAGAACAGAGATGCCCCTCCTTCCACAGATGGAGGGAGGAAAAAAAGCAAGATGAGCGAAAAGCCTGGACTTAATAATGAAAAACAATAGCTCATCATTTGTTTTCATATCCTCTCACTAATGCTGGCATAATGCTAACAGTGGAATTCTTATGGCATGCATGTCATGCCTGCAAATACCAAGTGAATTACTTCTCAGCAAGGCTATGGGCTATGGCACTGAGCAGCACATTCGTTACAAACGATTGGATGATGAACGACAGTTCCCAAATTTCTCCTTCACAATGCTACTTGCATTAGTTGTAATTTAATGAGTGAGAGAGAGAGAGAGACAGAAAGTTTTGGCTCAAACCACAGAAATAATACTGCCTGCTGCTGCTTCCCACTGGGTCTTGTATTAACTCACACCACCTCCACCTCCTACTTCTCTGCCTCCTCCCTTTTCACACCTATCCTCAGGTGCTAAAAGTCGTGTCATGAAACCCATCAGCATGGCAAGGGAGCATGCAGAAGCCCTCAAGCACACGCATTCCTTCTAGCTAAAAGGTGGGAGAGGACACAAACCTCTCCCTCTTCTCTGCCAACACTCAGGGCAGGCTGGGGTGGTTCCTACAGCAGCCTTGTCTGTGTGCAGACAAGCCACCAACTCTCCTTTGGTTCTTTCCTCCCAGGGAGCCAGTGCAGGTGAAAGACACCGAGCTGGCAGTTCTGGAAACAGAGCATGAAACACACACGGTATGACCCATGGTGGTGCAGAGCTCCCACCACACATCCCTGCCAGCATGGTCCTCGTGCCTTCCCAGAGGGAACCATAGCACCGTAGCCCAGCCTCACCCTCACCTTGCAGGCTGTCTTAGCTGGTTTGTTGCTCTTTTAAACAATTTTGAGAGCTGGTAAGCAGCCAGTAAATGTGAACAAAACCTTTGCTAGGGGGTAAGGCCTGCAGCAGTATAAATGTGCCATCATTGGTGACCCCTAGCAAAGCCAGCAATCACTGCCATGCTGCCTCCTCCTGAGCTCTTGGGTAGATCTGTACTTTCAACTTCTTCAGGGCATAAATCAAGCCCCTTTTCTTCACTCCGTGGACCTTGACACAAAAGGGACAGCCACAGCAGCGGGGGCATCTTGCAGGTCTCTGCCCTGGAAGGAGCCTGACTGGCCAGTGTCACCTCCCACTCCTGTGGCAGCCTTGCGACAGAGCCTGTTCCCCTTCACATGACAGGACATTTATCCAACAAATGACCCTGAGCATAAGGTTCACACCTGAAACAAGACCCACCATGTGGGGTCTCATATGCTGGGCCAGAAGAAAGCTGAGAGGCCTGATCAGAGCAGCAGACTTACGTTGTTCTGATTTTTTAAGATTTTTCTAAGCCTTCTGATGTTTACATTCTTGTAATGCACTTTCTTACACACTTCCTGTAAATAACTTACTGCTTTGTATTCTTTTATGGAAGAGGAGAAATTTGATAGACTGTTGGTTTGTCCAGTGTCATTGGAGAGGTGGCACTTTCACCCTCCAGTCCACTGTCACTTTTGGAAATCTGTAAGTGTTAGAATCAGAAAATAAACTTCCCTTTTTACCTTGAGAGCAACAGCGTGTCCGGGTTGTGTTATTTTGTGTCTTATAGTGACAGACTTACAAGTAAGTGACTGCAAATATCACTACTACTCTCCTGGTGTATCCAGTCTCCTCAGCATTTCCCACTGACAGAGCCTAAATGACAACCATCCACGGATTCCTACCCTGTGGAGCACCCAGAATATTCCTTATCCCTTCTGTGCCAAATGTAATTTAAAAGCCCCCCTCCCACATTTTGCAGTGTTTTTAAAAAAAAACAAATCCAAACAAAATTTACATGTTTCTGAAACACAGGCATAAGCAGAGGAAGGGAAAATGCCCTTAAGGATTGGAACCAAATGTGTTTGTGCAAATGAGACCCAGGATTTACAGTTACCTTCCAGCCTCCAGCAAGTGCTACAGTCTTAGCTTTGACTTAAAAACAATCTGTTTTCTTGTAAAGGTTGAAAAACACCAGTCATATTTTCTCTGGTGTACTGGCCAAAGTCCCACAGCCGTGGCTGGGAGAGGAGGGTGGACACTGTGTCACAGGACACTCCCAGGGACACGTGCAGACACAGGTCTGTATGGACACACAGATGCACATTTGTGCTTCCCAGCAACACAGCAGGCACGATGCTGGGGGCCACCACCTTTAGGAACTATATGGACACAGATTTGCCTCTTGTCAAAATCCCCCTCCAAGCCACTCTGTGGCTTTCTGAAACCTATGGCTGTGCTTTGAGCAGTGACCAGACTCTGAAATAAACGAAGACATGCCTTGCTGAAATGACCCTAAGTGAAAGCAACAACACTTGGCACAAATAAATAAACAAGCAGCATAGCTGCAAATCAAAAAGGATGAAACAGTGAGCCTCATCACCCTGCTGTGACTAACCCTGTGCTGGGCAGCTCACCCACTCCAGCAGCATGGAGAGCCATGCATCCCCCCAAGGGGCACCAGATAAAAGGGGTCCCTTTGCAGACAGCAAGTGTGGGGAGAAGGGGACACAAGAATGAGAGGGAAGGGGGGGGCTCTCATGACAGGACCACCACAATGCCTTTGTGGCCTTTAGGAGCCTGGCACAGGGGTGATGTTACCTGCTAGCAGCCTGCAAAGAGAAGCAGTGACCAGGCTGGAGTGATGAAAAGCAGTTATCTGGGCAGAACTATAGGGATGAACACACCTAGACAGATGCAGACCTGCTCGACTGCCAGAACAGGCCTGTTACTGCGACAGCTTCTTTGGGCACACAGTGCAAGCCACAGCTGTCGAACTGCCAGCCACATTTATCACATTCATGGTTTAAAACCCAACCAAATCCAACACTTCTGCTGGAACCAAGTTCTTCTGAAGGTTCCTGGCCCAGCTGGGAAGGCAGAGACTGTCCTGCCCCTTGGTTCCCCTCCTGATAGGCTGCTGTGGCTCAGGAAGGGTGAAGCTCAGACACAGAACTCAGTGTCACACTCCAGCTCCCTTTAAGCCTTCAAATTGGGGCTTACACGGGGCTTAAGTGCAGCCTGTCCCAACACAGGGTTGGATTTCACAGCTCTCGTGTGCTGCTGGGTTGCCACTTCCCACTGAAAAGGGGATGAGAGCCCTGCAGGCAGCCTGGCAGCAGTCCATCCACCCAGACACCCTGAGCAGGGGATGTGGAGCACCGTGATCCCTGCAGCCCTTCCCAGGTCCCTGGAGGAGGGCTGAGATCACTAGGACAGGCTTCTGCTTCCCTTGCCTCAGCTACCCAAATAATTCCCAATACCTACTTTTTCAGCAAGCATTCTGTGGTAATGTTTTACAGAATGTTTTACCTCTGTGATCAAGCCTGTGCTCTTCTTCCTCCACATCTCTGCTGGCCCCCCGCGGCTCACTTTGGGCCCCAGGGTGACCACAGAGCCCCCACCCTTCCAGGCCATGGGCTGGGATGCCTGACATGCAGCACTGAGTGAAGTCAGCATGCTCTCGACACACGACATGCTGCGTCCTCAGCCATGAACACCTCGGGTGGGCTGGTCACCCTCCAGCAAGGACAGCTGAAAATGACAGGGATGGGCTGGGGAGGGGGCAGCACAGGGGAAGAAGCTGCCAGGAACAGGAGAAAGGACACAAAACACAGCAGGAGAATAAGAGCCCCATCCCCTTCACAAGCCCTGCAATAACAAGAAGGCAAGAAGGACAGGAGTACCACCCACAACAAAACCCAAATGAAAAACTATGACCTGCAACTTGCTCCAGTGATGCCACGTAACAACTGTGGCTAGGAAACACACTTCCTAGCTCACCAGCAGTGCTGCCACAAGCATCTGCTTTATTGTATGAAAAGCATCAGGCATCCCCAGCCAAAATCATGCCCTCTCCTGCCATTCACTCAAATCCCATCTTCTTTTTCCCTCGCACTTTATTTTCTACAGGCAGCAGCTTTTTGGCAGGAGCCTCTGTGTCTGTTTGCAACAGGGCATGGCAAGGAAAAGCAGACGTCTCCTCGTAAAGCATCCTCTTCCTGAAACCCCTTCAACCCTTCCTGGCTGAGAGGAAATGCAAGGATTGGTAATGACTCAAGTGCTCCTCCGGGAAACAGCAGTGATTTCAGAGGAACATGAAATAACTTTTAAGCCGAGCCTCGTCCTGAAGAGGGGAACTCCACACTCTATCTTGAGCTCATGGTTGAGCATGCACGAAGCCAGGTGCCCACCGGCAGAGATACTGGAAAATATACAGCTCCTTTAATGAGGCAGTCTCAGCAGATAACGTTGTAAGTGATACAGTGAACACATCTGAAGGGATACAGATTCCTCAGGGGATACTGTATTTGCATACAGACCCCCAGTTACATCCCACCACTGGATGAAGTCTCAGAAAACTGAGGATACAGAGATAGACCTGAGACACCTGTAGGGGAGCTGAAGACATATCCAAGAACTGGTCCAGTTGGGCCACCAAAACCTGGCACTGGGAGAAGACACATTAAAGATGCCTGCCAAGCAGCTGTCCTGCATCAGGATAGAGATGAGCTGGTGGATGTGGATTACAGATCATTCTCCATCAGAATGTCTTGAATGATATTTTTCTCAAGCTTGGATTTCTAGTGACCCTTTTGTTCAGCCTGAAAAGTCACATTGCTTGAAAAAAAAAATCTCTTCCTGCCTTTTACAGGCAGAGTGGCAGTGTCCCCTCCTGAACACACCGTGATTTACAGTCTTCCCCACTCACACTGGCAACACAAGCCCTTATGCAGAGACTGCAGACAGCACTCCTGCCAACACACACTGCCACAGCATCGCTCCACATAAACACCCTGCATTCACCTTGCTTATATTTTCTCCTGCACAGGCTGTGACAGCTCACAAACACACACAAAGCCTAATTTATATTTATAATAAATCTCCCTTCTTCATTCACTGCAGTGGAAAGGAGCCCTGCCACAAATACAATTTGCTAGAAAAATGGTGTAACAGCGCTGAGGAGAATCAAGCCCATGCTGTCTTCCACAGCTAAAGGGGATGACACCACACCAAACACACGTGTACACTCCTAGAGGTGCGTACAAACACGGAAGGAGTCCCACACACACACACACATACACACAGACATTCCCCCACCTGTGCTGTCACACACGGTGCTCAGGAACAGCACCTGCTGTCCCTTCTGACTCGCACGTGCTTTCAGGCAGCACAGACTTCTGCAAGGTGCACTTTCATTACACAGGTCCGCACAGCCTCAGATAAGCCACAGGAAAATGGCACTGCAAGAGAAGTGCTGTCATCATCAATGGGATATGCTTGTGTCTGGGTCTCACATGTCCTTTTCAGGTGGTGCAGCTGTTTTAAAATGGGGGTTGCAGCATGTTTCTTATCTCCACTTGGTAAATACACACATATTCTGCTGCTGAAAGAATGAAGAGCGGGAGTTAGGTGGGAAGGCAGGTTTCTGGTGGTGCCAGTGATTGTACTACAAGAGATGAAGAAATCCTTTTCTTGTAGTCATGAAAAAAATGTGATCCCCAGTTTCTTTGTAGACTTGGAGGATTTATGAGGTCTTTGGTTTCTCCATGCTATCCACAAACTGGCTGTAGCCAAGAGCTGTATTTTTGTTTTAATTCAGTTTCACAGAAAAGGTGAAAGTTTTTCATCTCTCATCAAAGGACCTTGTTGCCACTTCCCTAACCTCCACCACCCTGAGGCCTGATTGTGGCAGGTGCTCCCCCCAGGACAATGTCAGCCTGTTCTGAAGCTGGGCCTAGTGTGCCATGTGGGTGCTTGCAGGGGAAGCACACCCAACCAGTCCTCTGTGGTCTCTACTGGCTCCCAATAAGCTTCCGTTAGGGTGACTTAACTCCTAATTCCTGCCAAGGTCTTGTGTGCTCGCGTGCCTTCTGTACAGCTCTGACTCCTGATGGCCTTGCAGAGTTTGGGTGACTCAGGCAATTCGTGTGATCCGCCACCTTCTCTCCATCCTGGCAACGCTAAGCTCAACCAAAAACTTCACTCTGCATCACCACCGAGCACACCAGCAGCCTGCCCAGCTATCAGAAAGTTCCTGGTGCCCTGACAGGAACTGCAGGATGGACATCACCTCATCCCAGCACTGCTCACTGCTGACCCAGGGCTCTCATTCCCACCATGGAGAGAACACCACTGCACACTGCCCCTGCCAGCTGGATTGCCAAGGTAAGCTGACACATCACCTGGCACTGCTGTGCTCAGATCCCTCCACTTCCCTCCTCCCTGGGGCACCACAGTGCCTCAACGTGGGATCAATTCTGTTTGTCAATGTTAAGGAGCTCAAGTGTGCCACCAGAGATTTTCGAGTTAGAGACGACTCTACTCCAGGTATTTTAAAGACTAGTAATGACTATTTAAGTCCCCAGAAATTCTGCCACAAGAGGAAGATTAAAGGTTGCACACACACAGAGAGCTATGAGGATATCAAAGACAGTTTTCTTGGAATTTTTCCTCCAGCTTTTGAAGTCTAACATCTAAATAGGAAAGTAGCAATGATGGCTGGAAATTACCACTATTTGGAGGTAAACCAGAGACCTGCTGAAAATCCTTGCCAATCTATGTGGAATTTGTCAACACTAAATGCTGCCTTGGAGAAAATAAAACACCATGTATTTTAGCTGGACATTCTTCTCCTCCAGCCTATTGCTTTAAGCAAACAGCCTTCCTGCCATTATACATATGGAGCAATATGGGCACTCACCCTTCTGCAATCCTGCTGCTGTCAGCTCCTGACAGAGGGATAGCCCAAAGCCATGGAAGAACCACACAGATGGTCAAAAACCAGCCCACAACCCATCCTGGCACAGCTCTTCCACAACCACCAGTGTGAAAAGCTAACCCTGCGATGAGGCTCACACCACTCTCTGGGCAGGCTGAAACAGTCTAGAGATCACAGTCCCGCAATATCCTTCTGGGTACTTGTCCCTCTTCTCCCCGTGCCACCTCTGGCTGATTTCAGCACATGTCACATCCCTTCTCAAATACAGCTGTGAGCTCTCTGGGGCAATGCCATTTCACAGTTGTCCATTTTTTGGAAAATCTGCAGCACAGAGATCCTTGACTTCAGATCCCAGCTGCTAGTGGCTATGAATAATTGGTAATTAAAGTAAAAGTGAAGCCATACCAGGGGATTGTTGTGCCTCTAAGTTTTCTCCAGACTACTCTGAGGAGACACAGGAGAGCTACCAGAGGTAAAAAAATAAATCTCAGCCTACTAGGTTTACATAGAGACCATCAAAAATATGCGTCTGTATTGTTCTGACCTCCAGATCTTTTTTCCCTTCACATTTTCCTAACCTTTAAAAGGCATGTAAGATAAACAGAGAAGAAGCTAGGCAGACAACATCCTTGGAAGAGATGTAGGAATATAATCAAGCCCTCAGACACACGCACACAAACACCATAATTTATCTCTTCCTCCTCCTGTTTGATATTATCCTCTGTTCTAGTATCATAATCTGTTGCTATGGAAACAGCTATGATGTCACTACAAGAGGTTTATAGATGCCTTGAACAGGAAGGAAAGGTACAAGATGATGGGAGAGGGAAAAAAAAACCACCTACAAACAGCTGCTGAGCAGGAGATGTTCCAGGAATGGTAAGTGTTAACAAGGAAAAGATAAATACTTTGACGTGTTGGAGCTGTTGCAGACAAGAGCAGAATATAAATCACACTTTAAAAATAAAGAATGCTTACAAATTTTGCCTGGAAGTAAAAATACTCTGGACAAACTGAAGGACCTTCCTGAAAAAAACAAACTTTCTTTGAAATGTTCAGCAAGTTTTCTGGGACTGGATATTCTCTGAGTATTGCTGCTAGAGTCCAAGTCTCCACCAAGCCGCTCCATCATCTGCTGTAACATTCCCTCCCAAAGTGTAACAGCCCATCAGTGCAGCTATCAGTCAGGGAGCTTGCTGGCTATTCCCCATCCTCTGTACGCCTTTACAACCTGTAACCAGAAAAAACCCTCATGTCCTCAAGCAAAAATAAACAGAACCATAAAATTCCCTAGGTTGAAAATGACCTCTAAGATCAATGAGACGAACAGTTAACCAAACACTGCCAAGTGCACAACTAACTGTGTCCCCTAGAACCACTTCTTTACATCTTTTAAATATCTCCAGAGATTTTTAAATACCACTACTTCCCTGGGTAGCCTGTTCCAGTGCTTGACAAACTCTTTCCATACGGAAATTTTTCATAACATCCCATCTATATTTTCCCTGGTACAACTTGAGGCTGTTCCCTCTTGTCCTGTCACTTGTTACCTGTGGAAAGAGGCTGCCCCCCACCTCATTACAACCTCCTTTCAGGTGGTGGCAGAGAAAGATAAGGTCTCCCATGAGCTTCCTTTTCTGTATGCTAAACAAAGCCCTCTCTCTCAGCTGCTCCTCTCGCACACAAGATCCTTCAGCAACTTTGCTGCCCTTCTCTGGACATGCACCAGCACGTCAATGTCTTCCCTGCAGTGCTCCTGTGCCTTTAAGATTTGTTTCTTGGAGAACATCCAGCCTTCCCGGACTCCTTTGTCACTCAGGTCTGCCCCAAGGGACTCTATCAATCTCTCCTGAACAGGCCAGAGTCTGCCCTGTTCAGAAGTCCAAGGTAGCCCTTCTGCTGAGCCCCCTCCTCACTTCTTGAGCACTGAAAACCAACCAGTGTACCCAAAGCAGCCTCCAAACACCACACCACCCACAAGTCCTTCTCTGTTGGCATAACACAGGCCCAGCAGGGAGCCTTCCTTTGTCTGCTCACTCACCAGCTGTGTCAGGAAGTTATCTTCCACACACTCCAGGAACCTCCTAGACTGCTTCCTCCCTGCTGCTTCCTCCCTGTGCAAAGACATACTGAATCCACTGGATCACATCCCGGAGCAAACAAACAACCTGACCCCACACTGTAAGCAAAAAAAGAGCTCTTCTTGCTCTCTTCACCCAAGAGAACAACCATAACCTTACAGACTCAATGCCAAAGATGCTCACACACCTGGCATGCTCCTAGAGAGAGCAGTGTGCTGAGCCTCACATGCTTGAGATGTGCCCAGCCTCTGGGCCATGCACATCCATGTGCAGGAGGATGCAGGTGTGGTTCCCACCCATGAGCTCAGGTGCTGATGACTGGGTCTCCGTGCTTGTAACTTTTTTTGGCCACCCTGACTGGTGGTGAGAGTACAGCAGACATGATGACAGAGAGGGTACAGCAGTCACATATGTCCTTAAATACATCATGTGCAGGCTGAGGGAAAATTCAGCATGAAGGGGAGGAGGAAGGAGGACAGCACATTAAATTTGTCCTGCACAGACACCATTGTCACGGGAAGAGCAATGGCAGAGAAGGAGGAAGCTACAAGGATCTCAGATCAATGAAAAGTGCTGGTGCTTCAGATAATCTCTGTCCCATCAGAGTTTGCTGAGCATGGTGAGCAGGATCAGAGATTTTAAGTGAATGCCACAGCATCAGTTTTGCCTCTGCTCAGCTCCAGATGGGGAATCCCCAGACAGACTCTCTGTTCTGCCTGTGAGCATCAGGATATAGGTAGTGTCTCCTGTCCTCACTCACCATCTCTTCCAAAGATATTAGAGACAACTCCAGGGGAAAAAAACTGGGAGAGACTGAAGTCTGAAGAGAGTGGGAGAGACTGAAGTCAGTAAGAGCAACTGCAGAAACACTCCAAGACGGGATCTTCAGCATTTCACTCAATTTTCCATTCCTGCCAGCCCTGGCTGTGACATCCTCAGCCCCTCAAGATCTCAGGAATCATCTCCCTCTATTCTGTTACAGTCACTTGCCCTCATCTTTGTTCCCCACATGTCTCTCTCCTCCTGTTCCTGCCCTACTGACTTACTCCTTCTCAATCTTCAGCCCACCCTTTCCTTTCCCAGAGCAACCTCTGTCACAAATGTTGTGGAAAGCCCACGCATTCTGATTTCCTCTCCTGAAAGTGCCCCGACAATTTGTATGAAGCACCCTCCTGTGTCTGCATCTATATGAAATGCAAATCCTTTGGGGTGGTAACCATCTACCCCTTCAGGTCAATGTCATGCCTCGTACAGTAAGGTTCTGCTTTTGCTTGGCATAGCAAATACAACTGCTATTAGGAACACCTTAAAAGCACCAAAGTAGAATAGGTATGAAAACAATGCCAAGTGTTGTGTGTGTTTTCCAGTTTATTTTATATTTTGTGGGCAAGGTTCTCCTTCTGGTTTATATGAAACGATTTCTTCTCTCCTGTACTTTATATCTTGGACTGCAGAATTGACAACAAAGCTTACATCGGTGAATAAACAGAGATTGTGCTTTTTAAATTGGCAGGTGACATCAAGCAGGATTGCAAAATCGGGGGAATTAGATAATTCAAAACAATCACGACAAATTGAGGGGTACAGGATGACATTCAAATGGGACAGATCAAAAATCACACGCTTAGGTAGGAAAGTCTACCTCCACACATACAGGATAGAAAATGGTTCATGAGGCATCAGACTTCTTGGACAGGATCTGTGAGCCTGGACAGGATCTGTGATCCTTGGACAGGATCACAGCACATCACAAGCTGCACGGAGATGAACAATGTTACGATGCAGAAGTTAAACCAAAGAGGAGCACTGACTGTAACAGACACAAAGGAACACTCCTGCTCTCCTTGCCCAGCACAGGACCCAAATACAGCACTGTGCTCTGGCAGTGCCATTTAAGAGAGAGATGGACCAGCTGAAGGGAGCACAGAGAACCAGGAGAACGGTCAGAGCTGAAAGGGAAAAGATACAAGAGAAAGAGCTGAAGAATGTGTTCAAGATATGATTTAGCCTAAGGAACACAAAGGAGAGACATGACAAAGACAAAGGAATAGTTTTCCTACACCCACAGTTAAAAGGACAATGAATCAGAGCAAGCAAAGCAGAGAGGAGCTACAGAGGGGGTACAATCTTTTAAGCGGCAAAACAAAGGGCAACAATGACATCCTGGACATTCTGTGGATTGTCCACACATGGGGAATATGCTGGACAAGCCTGTTAAAGAACATGCTGGACAGGCATTTGATATTCTACTTTAAAACACTTAAAAAAAAAATCTCTCCTTTGCCCATTTCCTATGATTTAAATGGTTTTGGTGAGAGGTAAGTTTCTTTGGCATTTCAGCATAGTCCAGAGCCCAACCTGTCAGCCTTCAGGACCAAAGGAGATGTTAGCCTGCAGAGTTCTGTCAGGTAACACCATTGTTCCAGGTGTTGCTAGAACCTTTATGGATTGAAAGCAATCAAGAACAGAGAAGGCAGCTGCCCTTCATGGTTTCCCAAGTATCTCTGGCAAATACCAACGTCTTGTGGGATGACCTTTCCCACTTTTCAGGGAAGGAGCTGTATGGGACTGCTCTTATTTTGTCCTTCCAGAGACAGACATCAGCACAGGCCCTGGAAGGTGAGCAGGACAGAGAACAACATGTAAATAGAGTGAGCTTCAGCCTCTCCAAACATTTGTCCAACTCAGTGATGCTGAAGAAAACCAAGGGAGCAAACTATGGCATCCTTCACCCAGCATAAAACTCCCTCTCACTCCAGAACACGACACAGACAGGCTAACGCTCATCACGTGCAGACCCTGCTTCCCCTTGTGTAGCTCCCTGGGTTTCACTGACACTGCTGCTGATCTGTATCAGAATCTAGCTCAGGAGCAGCTCAAGGGGTTCACTTCTTGAAGATGCTTCCCTTTGGCCATTCTGCACATGTCCTGTGAGTAAGCAAAAGTCTGTTCTTTGGCATCATTCTGTCAGTGACCTGATCAGACAGCCACTCTTTATACAGCACCTTGAACGTATACAGCATTGCATAAATACACATTACAGCTTATTGTTACTTCCATTCAATAAACAAATCCTAATAGCAGAGACAACTTCTTAAATTTAGTCCTGACTGTGGATTTTCCCAGGTATTTTGAGATGTGGAAATGCCTTTGCTGGCCTACGGAGGCAGAGGCTGCTCCTCCACTCATGTGCGTGGGCAAGTGTCACTAGAAGTGGTTTTTGCTATCAAAACTACCTAATTCTGAAGGCTACCTGAATTCAGAAGTGCTCCCAAAATAGAGGAACTTGTGCTTTCCTGAGGATGGACCTCAGTTTGCCGGTATGGCCAAATGAGGCAGTAATCAGGGGCACTCCATGCTCTAAATGAGGGGTAGCAGTAACATGCCTCTACTCTTCCTGCATGACAAACAAACTGCTAAATGCCATGTCTGGAGTGAAATTATCATCTGTGTTTATTTTCAAAAGAAAAGGTGAATTCTGTACTGCTAGGGGAAGTAGTTTCAAAAGAGAAGTCTTCCAGTTGGTCCACATTAGGGTATGTAAACAGCTCAAGAAACAGCCTTTTCTCTAAACAATGCTTAATTCTCACTTCTTGTTATCAACCAGTTATCCTTCCAAAAGTAACAGAAAGACCTATAAATAATATTTCGCATTCAGAGGGCAGAGATTTCTTAGTAAGGGTGAGGAAACAACCTCATTTTACAAATGGAGTGATTAAGCTATAGAGGCCGTGAGTCAGAAAGGCACTTCAGCATGCGGCCAGCTTTAAAGACATAAACAATCCTAATGAAGTCAGAAGCACTGTCTGTGAGCTTAAATTTAGGCACAGACCTGAAAATATCTTCTTAAATTGGGATCAGAGAGGAAAGGTGTCGAACCTTAAAAAAAGCCAACCCAGCAAACCAGTCTTAGCCTACCTGCTCACTACAGACACAGGGATGGGGACACCATAACAGCTGTAAGCCAACCACGGAACGCCTTTGCAAACTCTTCTCAGGGGTCCTGCCCATGGGCAGCACTATCACAGTTGTCTTGAGTCCTGCAGCTAGAAGAAGCTGTCTCATTCTGCCTCATACTGGTGACTTAGCCTGGTCTGAGCAGAAGGTGACTGCACTTGACCTCACCATCCGGCAGGACAGCTCTAACATCACCACCTGGGACCCACTTGGTGAGGTCCACAATCAGGACAGGGATTTACTTCCAGGCCCAGGTCACCAATCCTGTCATGATTTGACTTCCCAACTGTCCTCCTGACCAAATATTCACATGCTTTTATGCACTACTGCTGTGATGTGGCCAAAATCAGGCTTTATTCATTTAGCCACCCAAGTCCATTACCTATCTCCAAATACACAGTCTAACTTCCCAGGGCTGAGCTTAAGTTCAAAAGCCCCACAGGCATCAAGGAGGTCTCTATGCTGTTCCCCATCAGCAGAAGAACCTACACTGAACATCAGGCACAGGCACATGCACAGGCAGCTCTTATCCCATTTAGATGGAACCAAATCCAGTGGCCTCACAGCACCAGGGCAGTAAATAACAACCACTGAGCAAATGGGGAAACCTAGTGATGGAAAAATGAAAATTATTTCACTTCCCAGGCCAGCTGAGGTGTCCAACTGAAGCCAACTGGGTCCTCCCCACCTGTTACAGCCACGAAGAGGAATGCACTGCACAGAGTCCAAGGGCTGGTGACTGTGGTGAGTAACTGAGCTTGCCTCTCTGTCTGCTCACCCCAGCCCCTGGTCTCAGCAATGCTCTTTCCCCTTCTGAAAATAAAACAGCATTTTTTACCCATTACATAGCAAACTTGTTTAATCACTAGACACAGCAGCATGATAAGAACAATAATTTTAACTGGAGGGGGCTTCCTGTTATCCTGGCTATAGCCATATCCTGAGCAAATAAAAACTTAGGCTTTTAGTCCCAGCACTGACATAGCTTTAGTTCTGGTTATTATTTCATAAACAGGAAGCGTCTCAGAGTTATCATCTCCCTGCATGAACTTTGGGGTAAAGACCTTTACTCCGCCTCACTGGGGCCACCTCCCTGGCAAGCAAGTTTTGTGTGCTTTGGTGAGATTTAAGGATGCATTCGAAACCCAGCAGGGCTGGCCTGTTTCTGGCATTAAATGGGATCTGATCCACAACAAGTACAGGGTCAGATTTTCCGGCTTTCCCGGCCCCACGTGTGACAAGGATAGAGTGCAGGCAGGTCCCTGCCTGTGCTCAGCTCCAGCAGCCGCACCGGTGGTGAGGTGCAATTTACAAATATTACCCAGATTAATTCCATGAGCCACCCACATAGAAAACTACCGATGTGGCTGCTAAAAATACTCTCTGAATTGCAACAAAGTTGTCAAGAATAAGTAAGAAGCTAAGCGATGAGGAACAAAACCAAAACAGAGGTAATCACTGTTTAGAAAATAAAGGTTAATACACATAAATACCTCTCTTTACGCAATTGTGAAGGATGCCAGGTATGAGACGCCACGGAAATCGCTGGAGACACCCATCCTAGGCAAAAATCCACCCACAGCCTGTGATGTCTGGCAGACGCCCCTCTTAAACTGGGGTCTCTCCTGGACCACAGAGCCTGGCTCTGCCCTCTGCACAGTAGGAAATGTCTCAAGGTGAGTGCACAGGTGAGAGGAACAGTGCCTAGAAGAGGGCCCAGAGAACCAGATTCTTGCCTGGCTCAAGCCATTCAGCTTCTCTGTACCAAGCCAGTACAGCCACTCCTGACGAGGCCACATCTCTGGTGCTCAGAAGGATGGCAGCCACTAGTTTGCCCCGAGTCTGGAGGAGAGGCCATGTAGGATTACACCTGATGAGGTCTGCTTTGAAACCCAACTCATTTCCTTGTACAGCTCACAAACGAAACTAAAAACCAGGTCAAACATTGCACAGCAGTGTTACTTCTGTTTTGTTTCACTTGTTATATTTTTATGTCCTTCATTTTACTGCTAAGCTCTCCACCATCCAGAAAAAAAAAGAAGGATGAGGAAAAACCCAGAAGAGGAAAAGAGCAAAACCTCCAAATTCTTTAAAACAAATGGGAAAATTCTCCTGGCACAGTGTGTGTGGGAGAGGATTTCACACCAGATAGTCACTTATTTATCATGCCTCGCCTATTAATATCAGGTGAGGCACCATTCTGCTTCCCAGAAATGGTATTTAAGCCAGCTGCTCTGCACAAGCACACACCACCCTCACCTGCACGTCAAGAACGCTGGGTGACTTTCTGCGTGTGCTCAGTGTTACCAGTCACTTCCATTTCTACTGGAACCACTTCATAAGGCCTTTGAGGTGTCACATTTCCTCCCAGGGTGCTTTTTCTGTCAAAGAGCCTATGTTCTGAAATCGGTACGGCGGGGATACGGTTTCACCCCGCCTGGCCTGCCTTGCGGCGGTGGCGGTGGGCATGCATGTGTGCCACCGAGAGCGCTGGGCCGAGGGCAGGAGCAGCGCCGTGCCCGCCCGTCGCGGGGCTGATCCGAGCCCTCGGCTCCCGAGCTCTCCTCAGCGGCCTCACTCTACCTGATGCTCCAGAGGAGGGCTACAGACCGAACTGCCTGTGCACACAGGCTCGCAGGGGAGGATGGCAGTCCTTGCCTCCCTCCAAGGAGGAAATTGCATCCCCTGCGATAAGTAAGTTTTTATCTATGCACTGCGATATTGCAGGGAATTCTAAGGACCTCTCACGGCAACTAGGAGGCGAAAAACAATCATTAACCCCTCCTCCACCTCCCTCGAAGCCATTCAGCAGCAATTTAACCCGCAAGCATACATCAACACAACAGAGATAAAACAATTTCTATCAGCCTTTACGCTATCTCCGGCTCCTGCCATTTAGGATATTCACGTATTTTGAGGCTAAAGGCATGCTGCAGAGCCTGGCCTCAGACCCTTCCGTGTCTGCTGCGGGTAATTTGTTTCTACGGGTCACTTTCAGGGTATTTTTTCCCATCTGCTCTCTTTTTCCAGTCAGGCAGAAGCAGGGGCGCCGCTGAAGTTAAGATGCTCTAAGGAACCGCTAAACTTCCACCGCACGCTCCGGTGCAGCACCGCCGCCCCCTCCTCAGGAAGAAGCCGGCGCCCTGCTCGCCCCGGCAGTGGCCGAGGCCTCTTCCCCTCTCCTCTTTCCTCCCCTCCCCTCCGCTGCCCTGCCCGGCTCCGGGGAGGCGGCCGTGCCGGCGCTCGCCCACTGCGGCGCGCCGGGAAGGGGAGCGCGGCCGGGCTGACCGCAGCAGCCTCCGCCGCGGCTGCTACGGCCCCGCCGCTCTCCGAGGGGCCCCGCACCGCCCCGCACCGCCGCCGGATGCGGCCCGGGGGAGCGAACTTGAGAGCAATCGCCGCATGACCCCGCCGGCCGGGAGGGGCTGGGGGGGCTCCGCGGCCGGCGGTGCAACGCCGGCCGGGCCTCACCGGCCCGGTCAAATGCTCCTCTTTGTCTGCCCGCCTCCGGCGGGGTCCGAACTCCGAGCAGCGGGTGAGCCCGGGGCTGCCCAGAAATAACCCGGCGGGCCACCGGTAACTTTACACCGCCCGCCGAGCGCCCTCCGCGCGGGCGCCCAGCCCGAGCTCGATTTCCTCCTCAGATAAGTTTCACCGGCCTCGCCATGGGGAGGAAAGTAGCGTGTCCCCGTGCCGCCCCCCCCGCCCCGCTCCGCGCCCCGGGCTCCGCCGCCGCGGAGCGAGCGGCCCCGGGCGGGATGGCGCGGCCGCCGGGGGATGTCCCTCCGCTTTATGTAACGCTGCCCGGGCAGCGCCGAGCCGGGAGGGGTGACGGGGAAGGGTAAATGCGTCGCGAGGGGATTTAAATTAACCTCCGCACATCTCTGAATTTTTCTTTTTGAACAGACACCCTGTACTACACATCGATCTAACACACACAGCTGTATATATACACACACAGATATATAAATGTGTGTGTATATATATATATATATATAATTATTTAACCTTTTTTTAACCTGAAAGAAACTAAGTTGGGGTACTTGGGCTTCTCGCCGCAGCCCGGGCTGGACTGAAGCAGAAGCCAGAGGAGCTGACAGCAGGCTCCAGCAGCCCCGTTCCCCGCCGCCGCTGCCGCGGAGTCCCCGCGCCTCGGAGGAGAGGAGCCACGGCGGGGGGAACTCCTGGGAAACCGGCGAACGGAGAGGGGCAGCCGGTCCTGGGAACGCGAACTGCGGCGAGGGGCAGGCAGGCAGCAGGCACACACACACACGCACACAGACACACACACACACACGGAGGCGCAAGGCGAGCTCCGTCCACCTCATTGTTCTGCTCGGCACCGGCACGGACTTCACCCACCGCCCCCCGCCGGGGACCGAGCGCCCGGGACCGCGGCGCCGGGGAGCGGCAGAGCCGGGGGGCGGGACCCCCTGCTCCCCGCTCCCTCCCCCGCTGCGGCCGGGCCGGGGGTGCCGGCGGGGCGGGCCGGGCCGGGGCTTACCTTCGTACATGGGGGCCATCGGTGCAAGGACGCCTGTTATTCATGGCAACGCCGCCACGAACGACGCGAGATCGCAGCCCCCCAAACTCAACACACATCTGCCATCTTGAGCGGGTGTCTCTCGGCGGAGGCGAAGCTGCCGCCTGCCTTCTGCATCGCTGCCCACCTCAGCGCGGGGGGAGCCGGGCACATCCAGCCCCGCTGCCGGCCCTCCGGAAGGAAGGAAGAAAGGAAAGGAGGGAGGGAGGGAAGGAGAGAGGGAGGGAGGAAAGGAGAGGGAGGGAGGGAAGGAGGGGGGCTGGCGCCGTGCCCCCGCTCTCAGCGCGGCATGGCTGCGTGTACCGGGGCGCCTGCAAAAGTTGCACTGGGGGTGAGAGAAAGGGAGAGAGAGACGGAGGGAGAGAGAGGGAGACGGAGACCGAGACGGAGAGGAGGAAAAAAAAAAGGAGGAAAAAAAAAAAAAAGCAGCGAAGGGAGTTTGCAAATAATCAAGCGCCGATGGCACCGATCGCGGCTTCCCAGAAGGAGCGGGAGCGAGCGAGAGAAACCCTCTGCTGAGATTATGTGGGATCTTGTTTAACAACACATTTCAATCAGGAGAAAAAAGGAACAGTCAACAGAAGTTGGTGAAACACTTCTGTCTTCCCCCCCTCCTCTTTATAGAAAAGAGAGGAAAGGAAAAAAATAAAAAGGCAGCTGATTGAAGCTTTGCAACTCACTGGCTGTGGGGATCATATAATTTGTGCTCATGCTTTACAATAGCATGGAAAATTCCTACCTCTCCCCCTCTCCCCAAATAAATCTTCTATTCCCTCAAGGCATTTCACAATCTGGTTCACTGACAAAAGTTCCAATTTATCTTTTTTTTTTTTTTCGTTTAGCTCGCTTGCAGTGTAAATATTTAGCGGATGCATTTAAAATAAACATACGTTATTGCTTTTAGGAGTCAGGTTGTGTTTTTGTTTTGTTTTGTTTTAATAGGAGCCACATCAAAGAAGTGTTTACTAACTGAGATTGACAGCCTATTCTTCCCCTCCCTCTCTTCCCTTCTCCCTTCCCCTCCCCCCCCCCCCAACCCCCCCGGTTTTTTTAATTTTAAATCATCCTTCTCTCCGATTGAGCTGTAGGAGCACCAACCCGACGAGCATCATTTTTGTCGGCGCACAGAGGAAAGCTGAAGGAGAAGGCGCAGGAGCCCCCTTTGCCTGACAGGAGCTTTACAAAGGAAGGTCAGTCACCAGGTACCCATTACGCAGGCAAAGGAAACTGAGACTCATGCAAAGCCTCTGGCAAAGGTGGAAACAAAACCTCGGGCTGTGATCCTGCATTAAGAGCCGTCTGGATCTGCCTGCCTGGAGCTCCTTACAGATGAGCAGTCTGGGGCTGGACCGGTGAAGACGTAACTCCCTTTGTGCCTGCTGTGCCTGCTGATCCCCCAAAACGCTGCCTCTCGCTGTGCTGGTGCCACCCAGACCTGTCCCACCGCAGCGCTTGGTCGCAGCAGGGCTCAACTCCCGGCTACTGCCACTGCTGTCTCGAGGACGAGGCGAGAGGTAACTTTTCCTGGGGGATTTCAGCGTGAGCCGAGCGCTCCAGCCAGCCTGGCCCTTGTCTCGGGGTGCTGCGGGTGCCTACGCTGGCAGACAGAAGCAGGGCAGGGAACAGCCCCTGCTGCCCAGCCGATGGAGCAGGATGTGATCCCCAGGCTCCTGTGGGCCATCTTTGTTTGGAAGGTATCTTCAGTGTTTTGCATGATTTTTCTCCCTCCCCTGAAAAATGCCTGGAACTACCGGAGAGCTGTCTCACGCCCCATTAGCATTCTGTTTGCAACATGAAGCTGAGGATACATTTTAAATGTGTCAGGGAGTGCCACGCAGGGCTGGTGGAGGTGATTGAGGGCTCAAAAGTGGGCTGGGATGGCACTAGAGGAGTATGTACAGCAGAGGGAGCAAAACCTGCTCCCGTCTCGTGCCTGCTTCATTTTGAGACTGATCCCGAGATTAACCACCACTAAATCTTGGAAAGAAATGGACCTGCCTTCAGCTGGACCACTGGGGAGGTCCAGGCCAGAGATGGAGGGCAAGTGTGCAGATGACAGCAGGCACAGGATTTGGACTTGTTTCCTGTCCCTCTTTTATTTAGCTACGGTGACCCTCAGGGTTCAGCTCTAGGCATGAGTTGAAAGCCTCATATTTTACTGAAACAAGTTTCTGGTCATTGTAATTCTGTACTGCTGCCTTCTTTATGATGGAAAACCTTGTCTGCTTCCCAAGGCTACTGATGCTTCTGATCCCAGCCTGCCTCCCTGCAGGAGGAGCCACAAGAGGAGATGTGGAGAAGTCTTGTTGAAGCCTTGGAGAAGAGCAGAGGAGAAAACTGGAGGAGTGGGCTGCTACGGGAACCAGCTTCACTTCTTGGCCTTGCATTCTGCTGCAGCATGGCTCCAGGTCAGTGGCATCAGCCTTGCTGTCCTCAGCTGCAGAATGGGGGAAGATGTACCAGTCTTTGCTGTGTGAGACTGCACTGATAGTTTCTTCTTCCTTTCTTTCACCCTCGGCTATCCCGCAGCCTGTGGGGTCTCTGTTAACTCCACATCCATCAAAGCTGGCATGACACAGGAGCTTAAAATATAAACCAAACCCACTCCTTCCCAGAAGAAAAGGAGGAAGGGGTCATCAGAGATGTCTGCAGGACTCACCATGTGTGGCCTGGGCATGCAAGGGGTGCTCCCTGGCCCTGTGGCTGGTGGGTGGAGCACGAAGGGGGACACAGGAACATCCAAACCTGTGTGTGACATACTTAGGCAAATGCTAAAGCTGTTGGCTTCAAAGCACAGGTAATCTGCTTGTCTTAAGGAAAAGGTGCTGAACTTGATGGACTGCTTGGCTGGTCCAGGACAGCAATTCCTGAGTGCCTCTCAGGTTCAATATCAGCAAGGACATTATAGATTCTCATCCACTTACAACTTGTCCAAAGATAGGAAAATTAATGGACACGTTTTCACCAACAAGGACTGTTCTGATTTTACGTGTTTTTAAATGTTGTTACCAAATGAGGCCACATTTGGTAAATAAAACTCAACCCAAACAGGTCCTGACCTCGGCCCCAGACTGGCTGTGAAAACATGGTGCATAGACAATGCTGGTGTTTTCTGGGCATGTAGAGGGAGCAGGGACTTGCCCAACTAGGCACAGCCTTCCTCCCCAGCTCACACAGGGGCCTCGTCCTGACTGTCTCTTTCAGAGAGGACTTGGGGGATGTGATTGGAGCTAAGGGGCTACAACCGCTTGCTCTACTTCCCCACTGCTGTGAACAGATGGGAATGCACTCTGGAGATGGCCCAGCTCTGAGCCTACAACCTTCTTTCCATTCTCCCAAAAACTAAGCATCCATGCAAAGGTGTTACACCCTTTGTCATCTGGGTCCTTGAGGCAAGGCCAGAGCTGTGGTGTGAACGTGCCTGTGGTGTGAACATGCCTGTGGTGTGCACATACCTGTTGAGAGCCAGTTGTCAGCAGTGAAGCTGCAACAGCCCTGGGGCAAGGCTGTTCTGCTGGAGACATCATGGTCCACTCTCTTCCTGCCTGAGACTGCAGGGAGTGTCACTGAAATTTTGAATCCTGATAGACTTTCCCACCTCAACAGACTACCTCTTCTCTTTGTCCCCTTCACTTTGTGGGAGGATGGCAAGCCAGCACCGGAGAAGCACCTTTTAATGCCTCATCTGCAGGTTTTTTCATTTCTCCATTTGCATATTTGGGTCTCCCATAAACACAGCCCTAGTCTGGGTGCAGGTGCATGGCGTGCTCAGCTGTGTCATGGAGCACCATGTGCCACCAGCAGCATGCCCAGCTATGTCTGACCTGGCTGCTGGGTGGTGGTGGCAGGCACTGAGCCAGGGAAAGGAGGGGTGCCCTTTTTACAGCACTGGGCTGGCTCTCAAAGGGTCTCAATTTCTCTCCACATACACAAATCTTGGTGGTCTTGGCATGTAACTCCTCCAGAAAGGCACCTGGTGTTTCACTGGTGTGTCCCAGGGGCCTGCTGGTAACAACCTGAGCCTATCCTTAACTGCAGTGGGAGCAACAGGAGCTGCTGTTTCTTGCTGGATTTGAAGAGAGTTTGGGCTTCTTTTTCTTTTCCCTTAGAAATTATTACAGATTTTGGAAGTCAAGTTTAAGAAGAAAGGCAGATGAGTTTTAAAACATAATTTTTGATCGTCATTCCTCTTTTAGGGGAGTTGTGTGAGTGGAAACAAGATGCTTTTTGATCTCTCAGAGCCAGAAATGCTATGGTGGTATCACCTGCTCTTCTTTGGTGTCTCTGCTAGACCCTGCCTGTGGGGCATTGCCGGAGGTGCATGCTGCTGAGATGCAATTTATTCCTCTTCCCCCCAAAGCTGGGGGGTCTGTGGCTCCCAGGTTTCTTGGTTCAGTGTCCATCCACTGGACTTATTTCTTTGGAGAGATTGAGCCTAAAACTGTACTAATAAAAGACTGTATGGTACGTTAAGAACAACACCAACAACAAAAACATAACAAACCAAAAAAAACCTCCAAAAAAGCAGAAGAGAAAGGCTGGAAGCACACAGGATGAGCATGTCCCCTTCAGTGACAATCTTTCATACCCATTTGTCTTCATGCTGCTTCATTTTGGTGGAGCTGAAATGCAGCAAGTTGTTAACAAGGATCAGGCCCCAAATCTTTCACGTTAAGCAAAGCAAAATTCTTTTTTTTGAACACCGGGGAAGGTTTCCCAGTGAAATACACATAGTTGTTTTCTTTTTAAATGTAAATCAGTGAGGGAATGGACAGTTTAATTAAAAGCAAAATTATTAGGTAAGTGCTGAGGGAATCTACATTATTTGCTGGGTACACTCACATATTTTTACTGGTGAGTCAATTGCAATTTTTAATTTCTTTCCACCTAGTAAGACTAGCTCAGAGAGTAGCCATTGTGATGTGGAATATTTGGAGAAGGATTTTTCCACAGATAGCAGGAATGTCTGTTCTGTGTGCAAGTTGTGGATGCCCAGGCAGCCTGCTATGTTATGTCCATTACATCTCTGCTAATCACAGAATATTCTGAGTTGGAAGGGACCCACAAGGTTCATCATTAGCAAACACTTGCTATAAGCTACCTCTTGGCATTACCTGGAGAAAATCCTGTCCCTTGTGACAGGGATTTTGGGTTGCTGCTAGTGACTGAGGCTTTCAATCCACCTATCCCTCCACAAGCCTTTTTGCCAGGCAGATACTTTGTGGAAGCCCCCCTGCCCTTTCCCCCAAGCCCATGTGTCCCTCTTTCACACAGCAAATGATCCAGATGGACTTCCAAGCACACCAGAAAACAGCCAGAGTACTGGGCTGGGATATGACTGCTTATTTTGTAAAGTTCTGAGGGAAGGCCCTTATCTTTGAACACATATGGAAAATATGCTGCATGCTTGAGTAGGGCTGGAGACCGATGGCTCCGTCACAGCTGAAGTTCAAAATAACACCACAAAAACCTACAGCACAATTATCCCATGCACCAGCAAGTGGAGCTTCATAAGAAGTCAGATATTTTTACTCAGTCTGAACATCAGTGGCTTCCTCAATGCAGCTGATGTGATGTAAGTGCTCCTTTCAGGGACAAATGGGTCTGTGGCGCAGGGCTACAGTGGGATGAGACTTAATTCCCACTATGAAACCAGATGAAGCTGATAAAGCCTCAGTGGCTTCAACAGATGATGGAGACAGGAGTGTGGTGAGGAGAGACAGGAGAGATGCTGTGAAATGCTTTGGGTATCAGGGATGGAGGAAGGCGCGATGCGAGCGCACAGCCTGATCAGGGCCCGGGGGAAGGCAGAGATCTGGGTCACCTCACCCAAGCCTAACACCACATCTGATCACATCCCTCAGCTTGCCTCCCCAGCAGGAGTATGGCTGAAATAAATGCCCTAAAAATGAGGTGGCCTCTCCATTTGAGGGGTTAAACACAATTTCCCATTGTCGAGCTTTTGCATTTGGCTCAGGTATTGTTGCAGGGTCTTGGATCCCTTTCTTCTTATTATTAATAACAGAAACTTTGAAATATATTTTAAAGAAAAGTGCTTATCAGATAATGAAATTCTAGCTGTGGTTGTCTTTCAAACAACCAGGGCCATGATTTAATTGGAAGTAATTATAGACTTTTCTGAAGTATAATTTTTAGGGTATTTTTTCCCCTGACATTTGCAGTGTGGAAATTAAAAATAAAAGGATGTCAGAATCACGAGATTTCAATCTTTCTTCAAACAATAATGTCGGCTAGTGTCAGAGGTTTGTCCTTGGCTGGAAAAGAGAAAAACTCACAGAAGAAAATCCTTCTGGTGAAAATCACCAATAGCACCTACTGGTGCATTTGCTGTGCTGAGGAATTCCTGAGAGACCCCTGTTTCCCAGAGCTCACTGGAAACCCTCCTACCTCTGCTGCAGTGGGAAAGGGCACATCAGTACCTAGCTCCTGAGAGTAGCACACTTGTGATGCAGGCTTTGTTAATTATTCCACCAGTAAAGCTGTATTAAAAGGTACACTTACAGCAAGGAAAGAAAATTCCCATTCTACACAACAAAAAATTAAATGTAGTCCTTGTATCCTGCTGAAAATAAAGTTATTTCCATACTTCTTTTCCCCCAATATTTTTTTTCCAAATTTTTAAACAGGAAATGTTTCAAATTATCTCTTTCTAAATTTTACCCTGTTTTCACTTTGCAGAGCCTCATCCTCCTTTGGTGAAACCATCAGTGTATCCCCTAAACTTTGACTCATGCTCTCTGTCTTACCGAAAGTGCCATTTCCAAGGGAGGGACAGTCTCTGCCAGCACCAACTTAACCTTTTTAATGGCCAGTGGCATCAGCAGGGCCCCGTGGGCAGAGCCTGAGCTCCTGCCAGCCTGTGTGGCTCTGCTGGTACTGGTGATGCTGTGATGCCCCTGGACACATATGCAACCACTCAGAGGACAGTTTGGCTCAGCCTCTCAAAACACATTCTCCAGACTTCAAATCATTTCCGTAGGGATGTGGATGCACACGTGAAGAATCATCTTGCACTCCCAATTCTCTGCTTCTGGATCTGAAGTTTTATAACTAATGCCCATTTAAAATCCATTCCTGAACACCAGTCAAAGGGAAAGGAAGGGATTATTTCAGATTACAATGGCAACATATATAAAAATAAAAAGTTCCATACAAGGCTGTGATTCACTCTATAAAGTGCTGTAGAGGATTGTATGAGGGATGCCCAGTTCTGCAAAGTGTGTTGACTTTTTGATGAGGCATTAGGTGAGGTTCCCTATCATTACAGGCTCTATGGAGTTATTAACATCATGATTTATAAGCCAAATTCCTGCTTGGCAATGCCTGCCTGGCCCACTCATGTACCCCACCTCACTGCTCAGCTTTACTTATTCCACTTCACACTCCACCTTAAAAATCCCATTGCGTGGCCTTTCCAGTGAAGAGCAGCTATATTTCATCTCAGACATGGCTTCAGCAACAAGGGAAGGGATTTCCCTCTACTCTTCAGCCTCCAAAAAAGCCTTTTCAAAGAGAGACATTTTATTATATGGGGGAAAAAATTATACAGACTGAGGTAAAAATTTTGGTCAGGCCTTATAAAACAAATACAGTGACCTTAAAGTAATAAAATTTTCTGTGGCACTTTGCCAGAGCTGATCTTCTATGCTATACTTCAGGGATAAGTATGGATGTGCTGACAGAAACCTCGTGGCTTCCAGCCTGTGCGATGTGTAGAGCCTCAAGGGATTTTCTGGAAAGCATCTGCTTTTCCAAAGTTAAACATTTTTTATCCCTTTCCCAAAATGGCCATCAGACCAGCAGTGTTTCAAAGACAAGCACACGTGTCTACTTCCACGCCTTTCATGCCGTCAACAGAAAATATCTGAAATTGCAGGCAAAGTTTCCAAGAAAGCAGAAATGGAGATTTTCTTTACTTTAAATTTCCAAGTACCTTCCAGCAGTCTTTTCTCTGTCTTTGCACCAGTGCCTTGCTCACCTGGGAGCCTGGAGAACGGAGCCCATGACCTGACCACGGATCTCTCTGGGGACTCTGTGTGCTCAGGGACTGTGGGCCAAGGAGTGCATTTGGTACAGGCAGTGCCAGCCACAACACAGCCCTGAGCTTGGCGGGAGCCTTCTGGCCAGGGGTGGAAAACTCTTCTGGTATTTACACTTATTTGGCTATGCAGTGGATATTATCCTTTTTTCCTGCCCAGATCACTATGAGAGCCAAACCTGGCCATGATGTCCACCACTGTTAATGCTGTACCAAAAGATAAGCTATTGGTGAAAGTTTGACACAAAAGCATTGTGCATTGCTGATTAGTCACAGCCTGTGACTATCACAGCTTTAAAAATTGTGATCATGAGGTCTTGTCTTGCGACCCTGCTGCCCACCCTCTCCCACAGAGAGGGAGAGGAATAAATATTTACTACTTCTCAAAATAACACCCAGCCACACGCACCCTTACTGCTGCAATGTAGTTCATCTAATTGAAATAAGAACATAAGTAAATTGTTTGTCAAGGCAGTTTATTAGGACGAGATTGCTGTGTCAGGAGCTCCCTCACTGTGAGAGATGCTGTGTTGTCTCTCTTAATATTTAATGTCATTTTAATAATATTTCCCAGTTAGGGGTGCAGGCTGATGCTATAGATTAAAGCCTGCCAAAGTGGGGAGGAATAAAAGCTTGAGGTCAGCTTCATTCCATTGACTTTTCCACCTGGAGGCTGGGCAAAGAGCAATGCTGCACTTTTTCCAAGGGACTCAGCCACTCCCTGGTACTTCTCTCAGCAGCGTTATCTCAGATTTGTGGATTTTTCCTTTCACTCACTCAGAAGGACATTTTAAAATATGAGGATCACATCCTGAGGAGATAGAGATGAAAAACCCACCTTTTTTCCTTTGACAAACCCACTTCTCTTTGCAATGCTGCTCCACTTGGGCTCATTATTCAGACAGTACCATAAACTACTGAATTTCTCCCAAGCTCTTGATTGTATCTGCAGCTACAGCACTCTTGACCCTCGGTGACAAGCCTTGTTTTGGAAGTCTCTGGATTAAAATCAGAAGTGTTTTAGCCAAGGAGCGGGGATCTGCAGCTTAAATATCAAAGGTCTCTGCTCATAAAGAGTCCTCCAATGCTGCCTCAGTGTCACCCCCCAGCCCTCACAGAGCTGCCTTGGCTGCAGAGCTGCTGCACTGATGGTGCCTCAGTCCCCATGCCATCCCTCCAGACATCTCCTGGCAGCAATGCCCAGCCCAGGCTCTTCCTTGTTGTGAAAGAGTCCTGGTTGAAGGACCATGGAGTCAGAGCCTTTTGAAGCTGCTGCGTAATAAGCTGTATTCTTTCCCCAAACATTACTAGACAGTTCAATAATTACATGAACTTTGTAATCAGCCAAACCAGCAAAGCCATCCACCTGACGTACACGTAGCACTTGTGAGTAATTTTACATAAAGGGCAGGTACTTTTGTACTTAGTGCACAGGCCTTGTGCACAAACAGCTATAGAAGGAGGGCCCAATTATAAATAAACTGTCCTTAGTTGTCACTTTGCTGTCTCTGACTTCCCACGCATTCAAATGGTGAGACTGATTCATTTAATCTTACTCTAAAGCAGCAAGCCACAGAGTCAGTTTCCTGACAGTTGCTTTAAAAAGCGTAGCTGAGCTCTCTTGAATTGTCTTCCCTTGTATTATATTTAGACATTGTGATCAGAGTATCTGTCATGATATGCTTTTACTTTAAGGCAGAAGTTCAAGCCGCTTCCTGAAAACAGAGGTGCTCCTGGGAGCCCAAGGGGCACGAGAGCTGGGGCTCAGCATTTGGGAGCAGGGATCTTCAGCACCACTTGTGCTGCTGGCTCCCCTGCACAGCCAGCCTCATGAAAACCTGAGTTTTCAAATAAGTGCAACATCACTTACCATAATGAGACTACTGGGAAGGGTGGAGGCAGCGAAAGACTTAGCGGCTGTTTCCAAGGGTTTTAGAAATATCAGCTCAGCAATTCTTACGATCTTCCCTTCTCCCCTCCTTCCTTCTTCTCCTCTCCAAATCTTGTCAAAGGCTTGGATGCAAAATCTGGACACTCCTGTCACATGAACATGGCTTTTATATGTTTGTGTCATTGCAAAGCAGATTATAATGACTACACTTCATGCATTTTACCCTAATTAAGTCAGTGGAGGTTTCAAGGCAGATACAAACTCGACATGCAGCTCTGCCCTTGACAATTGCCTACCAAAGAGAATACCTGAAAGCTCTTGTTTTGCTAAAGATGCTATTTAATATTTTGTAATGCTCTGGTAAACGTAGTCAGTGAATGTGGAGTCTTCTGTTTCTAAAGTATTGTGGAGGAGGTTTATTGGAGTTATGCTGAAGGAGGTTTCCTTGTTCCATGCCTTCCTTTGCAGAGCAGTTGTCAGATACTGAACTGAAGGTTCCAGTCCTGCTGACCACTGTCTGTGATGAGGAGACCCCCAGACTCCAGCAGACTCAGCCACTGCTCTGGTAGCAGGAGCTCTCCAAATGTGACCAGGATCTGTCAGACAGGACAAAGTGAAAGACATGCTGGGCTCTGAGGTACCAGGGGGATGGGAAGGGCTCTGTGTAGAGGGGGAGTGGTAGAGAGCAGATGCCATGCCTCTGTTGTGTTTTGTTAACCCAAATTTAACACACTGTGGAATTTAACATACTGAATTGAATGGTGAGTTTCTCCCTTTTGTAGGATGCCTGTCTTCCTCTAGCTGATAACAGAGATTTGTAAATCTATTATTGCTTCCACGTACCTTCAGAGAAACTTGTGCTTTAGGTTTTATGTGTTGAAAACTTTAGGTCCTAGGTCCACATTCAAATGTCTGTCCAAATGTGATTGGACAGACATTTGAATTCCTTTAAGACTGGTCATATTCCTTTCCCTCAGATAAAATTGTCATGCTAGAAGTTTTCCACCATCCCTGTGTCTCCAGAGAGAATCTTGGAGACTTGAAGGTGACTTTTCTGAAAAATGGTCTCAATATAATTCCAAAAATACCTTATAATTTGGAGCCTGCTCCTCAACCTCCAGCAGAGATCAAAGAGATCCCAGAAAATATATTAAGCACCATGCATTCCTAGGAGCTGTGCCTTTGGCTGTAATGAATCAATCAACTACCCTTTTATCAACCATGTATAAACTGACTTAGGGCATTTTGGAGACAAAGGCTACTAGTACAAGGCTGCTGGTTTAGGCTTTGTTTTCATTAAAAAGTTTGACTCCAAAGGAAGATCTTTGTTTTCAAACAGTGTTTTTTACATCTTCCTGTTATTTTCACCTTCAGGCTTGCTCAGCCAGTTGGATATGAAAAACTTGTTCTTGCTTCCTAGTGGCAAGACCATGTGTGGATGGTGTGTATGGGGTGCTAATTACTGTCTGTCACTGGTATTTATGGGGTTCCAATCACTACGGCACCGTGGTGCCAGGGACAATATTGAGATAAGCAGGTAAATTATGGAACGTGGACTCTGCTCTTCCCATCCACAGTGCTTGGCCCCTTCGACTTGGAGACTTTGTCCCCTTGCTCATGCTCAGATGTGGGCACCTGAGAAGAAGTGAGGTTTGTGCTTTGCTGTGAACAGCTCTGTCCTGTGAGCTCAGCCAGGCTGTACCTGGTACCCCTGGCTCCATCTGGGATCACATCCTGCTCCCATCCCTCATGCTGGCCGTGGCACCAGCTCTGTGACCGGTGGCACTGGGAGCAGAGCCCACAGAATGGCCTGTGTGGCCTTCACACCAGCTGCTGCTGAGCCCTTTTCCATGGAACGTTTTCCAAAATCCAACAAGCTGTGTAAACTGGGAGAGCGGAAATCAATTGAGGTGCTGATTCCCAGCCTGTGCAGGATCACGGAAGATGTCCCAGTCAGACAGCATGGAAAGCTTTGATCTCTTTGGAGAAGCAGGATCACGGAAGATGTCCCAGTCAGACAGCATTTGATCTCTTTGGAGACAGGAACTGCCATGAAGCAGAGGGCTGCTGGAGCCTGGCTGGCATTAATGGGAAGAATTTCTTCTGGCTACTGGCGCTAAAGAGACAGTTTGCTTCTCAGGCAAACTCAGCCCTTTGACCAACTTGACCAAAGCTGTGGCCAGAGAGTCAGTCTCAGTCTGATTCTGAGAAAAACACATGCCTGGAACTCCATTTCTACCACTACAGAGAAATTAATATGAACCCACAAGAAAGTGGAGATGACATGAAAAAATGCAGGTCACTGTAGGAGCTAGTTCTTAAGTGGGACAGGCATAAATTTCCTTAATGTGGATATAGAAAAGGACGTATTTTGTTTCTATTATTACTTGATTGTGGGAGGTTAAAGGGAAATTTTCTCACAAACTCAAGAAAGAAGTGTTCAAAACTAATTTTTAAAATGTGAAAATAAAAACAAAACAAAACAAAAAAATAGAAAGGAAATTGTGATGGAGGATCTGTGTAAAATTTTTTTTCTTTTTGATCAGCTCTGATGGTTCTAATTGATGTCCAAGGAGAAATCTTGGTGATTTGGAGATGAAAAGGAAAGGAATTGCATCCTTGGTAAGCCCTGCCTATGGGACAGCAACCCCGGGACATGCTGAAAATGTTTAAATAAGGAATGTGCCATGAACCAACATTTATCTCCTACTTACCCTTACAGCTATTTCCTTACCCTCAAATTTTCAGGAATGAAAAGCTGTAAGGACCAGTAATTATGCTGAGATTTTCCCTTTATGTAGCACTGCTCACGCAAGAATTCCAGCCCATTACACAAATAGCAGTGCCGTGCTTGTCGGGGCCCTTTGAAGCACAAAGTGCCATTGCTGCCAGCTTGGTTTGCTCGGGGGCAGAGGGAGATGAAGGCATGGAGGCTGCAATGCTGGGATGCCCTCCCGGGTCGCCCATGCCCCTCCTGCTTTGGGTTTTCTGGCCTCACTGCCCACCTGAGGCCAGGCTCTTTTGGGATGATGGAGCATTTCCAGACTTTGCTTGGGTGCACCTGGCAAACAGGGAATGGGCACCCAGCGCTCAGTGCCGAGCCAGCCGCTGATCCTGCCCTGCATTGCTGAGAGCTGCTCCGTGACGCCAGAGGGTTCGCAGGGAGCAAGCAGGGCTGGAGTCAGGTTACACTGACTCCCAAGTTCCAGGCAGCGGCTGCCCAGGGAAAACACATGCCCACGTAAATAAAGAGGGAAATAATTGTAAATGAGTAATTAACTGAGCAGAAGTAAAAGTGGGAAGCTGAAAGACTGAAAGAAAAGAGAAGCGCCTGAGCTTTTTTGGAGATGCAGAGGCTTGCATTTTACATCTAAAGAAATAGAGGAAGAAATTTAAATGCATATTTAGAAAAAAAAAATCCAGTGGGAAATGTGAAAAGAACCACTTTTATGATGAAGCCTCTGAAGTGACAAAGCTATAAATGCACAATTCCAAATATCAACCATTTCTTCTTCAACAGTGAAAAAACCCAAATAATTAATTCTGTAGAGAGTTAAAGCAAACTTTTGGAAAAGCACCTGGGAACAATGCTGGGAATTGCCCACCCTATGATTTTTGCTCCTGCCACAGGGCAGTATAAGTGAAACATTATTTACTCCAAGAAACGTTGCATTCCTTTCTTCTCACCACTATCTTGCTTACAATCAGGTGTATTTATAGAAACCTGCTCCAAGACCTGAGATGCACTGCCACCAGCCTCCCAGCACCATCCACTCAGTGGTCAGTGGAAGGATAAAGACTCCTATCCAGGGAAATACCCTTTCCCATAGAACCATAGAATGCTTTGTGCTGGAAGGCACCTTTAAACATCATCTGCCTCAACTCCCCTTCCACAGAAAGGGACATTTTCAACCAGATCATGTTGCTCAGAGACCTGTCCAACCTAACCTTGAATATTTCCAGGGATGGGGCCTCTATCACCCTCTCTGGGCAAGCTGTGCTAGTGTTTCACCACCTTCATTGCAAAAAATTTATTCTGTTTATCAAGTCTGAATCTACCCTGTTATAATTTAAAACCCTCACTCCTTGTCCTGTTGCCATTGTCCCTACTAAAAAGTCAGTCTCCATCATTTTATAAGCCCTCTTCAGGTACTGGAAGGTCACTATAAGGTCTCCCAGGAGCCCTCTCTTATCCAGTTGAACAACCCCAACTCTCTCAGCCTTTCCTGATGGAAGAGGTGTTCCAGCCTTCTAATCATCTTCACATTAAGCAGAAAATGGCTTATCAGGGAGGCAGGATTTCACTTAGAGGGCTGCAGACTAAAAACCCAGTCTTTAACTTTCTCTGAGAGACAAGATGGAAAGCAAATCTAAACATGCTTTCTTTGCTCAACCACCACAAGGTACCTTGGGTACTTTGCTGACATGATTCTGGTTGAAAGAAAATTCAGTGGGAAATTTGTCACCAAACTAAACTCACCACTATCAAATTAATTCTGGATCCAAAGGAGCCAAGCAAATTTGATTGTACTTGTTGAAATGTATTTTGGACAATGATGAAGGACCTAGGCCAGCTGCTGCTCACTGAGCTCTTTTGTAGGCAACACTTGCATGGATTGCAATTGGGGATGGCTGAATGAGGGCTGGATGGGGTAATGGCACTGGGCTGGTGATGGAGGGGCTGGTGCTTGGAGACCAAATGACATTCCTCAACCTGGGATAATTCTGAATCCCCAGAGATGGGGCAGCCAGGTACCTGCTGCCTTTTTTCTGGTTAGAAGATAACTGGAGTGGCACTGTAAGGAAAAGTTTAAGGCAATGTGATTGGAAAACAAAAAGGAAATAAAGTTCCTTTATGATTCCTCTATGATTTTGTGGCTCTTAGAGCATGCTGGGTGGTGGGACTGGAAGTGTGGAAGCGCAGCACACAGAGACTTTATTAGCTTGACAAACTAGAAAGACTGATGTGTTTTGGCACTCCATCACTGTTACTGGCCTTTGGTGAGGCAGTGTCTTTGGGCAATGCTATTTCCAGGCAGGATTCTTCTGGCCTTATATATACCCTGCCTGTTGGGCACACGAGAGCTGTGCTATTTAACCCTCCTTCCCCTTGTTTATATTCCTCATTCCCACACAATCCATAGGCAACGTTGAGGAGAAATTGAAACTTTCCCTGTTTCAATTGGTGTCACCACAAAGGAATAGATTATTACTGACACTGATCCCAATTTAATCCTTCCAATAATCTGATTTTCCCAAGCCTATTTATATCCTTGAAATGACAGTAGGGTTTAAAGTGATACAAATACCTGAGCCTAAGTGCTGGTACTATCCACAGCAGTCTGGTCCACTTTTGACCCTTCAGAATAAAATGTAACCCCAAATATTATTTGATAAATCTCTTCCCAAGTGTTTGTAGTGCTAGACTGGTCCTTGGCTCCTCTTTTTAACTAGCTATTTCACATTACAGATTTATTCTCCTATACACTAGTATCAAGCTGAAGTCCAAAAATAAGTTTTAAAACTCATATAAATGTAGAAGTTCTTTTCCCTTTGCGAATTTTAATAACTTTCTGGTGTCTGGAAATGATCTAGAAGTAAAGCTTTCATAGCACTGTAAGAAGTATAAACCTGTTCTAATTTGTTATTTCATCCAGCAACCTGAGAACTTTTTTTTATTTTCCTGGGATTTAAGGTGATCAGCCAATGTTTTCTCCCATCCCCAATCTCCTTAAGAAGCTTATTAATGCTTTACATTGAAAATAAAGACAAACCAATCTGAAAACAAAGCCATCCTTAGCGCTGGATATTGTAAATGTGCTTGCTGGACTACTTCCACTATTAGTAACCAATTCATTTTAATATTGCTCCTGCTTCTTGCTAGATCTGCACAACCTCAGTTCACACGTAGCCAAGGAGCAGTTCAACCAGCAGTCAGCAGGTTTTTGTTCCTTTTTTCCCCCACTCTTATAATTCAGTGCAGTGACTTGTTTATATAACCAAATCCTTTTGTTTCTCCAAAAGGGACTTGGCTATTTCACTTGAGTGACAACATCCATGGTAGGTGATGGTCTATTTTTTCCAGAGCAGAGGCCTCAGTTTTCAGCAGAATTTACATTCCAGTAATAAATATTTAAAGGAATTATAACGGAACTGAAGCAAGTGCTATCCCTCTGAAGTGCACACACACATACACACACACACATGAACACACACAGAAAGACAGGCACACTCACAGTCAGTTAGTCTGGGGTCACACTCCGGTGCAGATGGTGCCTTTATTCAACCCCTGAGATATTTTGCTTTTTCTGTTAGGAAACTTGGCCACCTTGGACTTTTAATACCCCATAAAAACCTCATGAAATATTATTCTTTACTGTCAGTGTAGCAAATCACTCAAACATCTACATCAAAGGCATTTTCTGCAACAAAATCTATTTCTTCCACTAAAAAAGTGTAAGAAAGAGTACAATCCATGATGATTTCTTGGTGTCCTTTCTCAGGTATGAGCTTCAGGATTTTCAGTCTCTATTTTATTCTATAACAGACTAAAATAAATTACACTGTAATGGCAGTTTTGGAACATACCAGGACTACACAACCACCATTTGGCTTCAAATGTGTAGGCTATTATAAAGCAAATGAGACACTGATGTACTTTTCCATTTACAAAGCTTGGACTTTTCCCTATGGGCATAACACTAGGTAATGTCTTAATTAATGATAGTGAAGATCATATATGTGACATAAACAAAAGAGATGCTTTTAAACAACAATAAAAAAGGGAATAACAAAATATTCCAAATCTTTTGAGAAAGAATGAACTGATTCCAAAAAGTAGAATAATGAAAACCAAAAGGCAAAAGAAGGAAGAATGTGATGTAGATATTGGAGTTACCTGCAATGTCTCCCTTTGCTAACCACAAAGTATTTATTTTGCATAGCTTACTGTATCCTTGTCTCTCCATGTGCACTGAGTGATG